AGAGCCACAAACAACTCCTTAAAATACCACGAGTGCTCAGAAGATGGAAATTTGCTATATTATGATTTCAGAAAACAGCGGATGAACACTGGACATAATGACAAGTCCTCCTCCCCGCTCTGAACAGCTCACTCAAACCCACTGAGCCTTCTGAACAATCCAGCTTCAGCCCTTGACTGTGTTCATTACATTATTTTGATGCACTGTGATGAATGCAAGAGATCACTATACATGAAAAGCAGAGGTCAATAACCAGTATGGAACAGTGTCCATATGCCGGCTGACAGCTTTACCCTACAGTTACTGGGCTAGTAGTTTTCAGCCAAAAGTCAGGAGAATTTGGTACTCAGTTTTGCCCTCCCATTCCCCTCTCTCTGCCACTGAAGTAATCTGAAGTAATAATTTTCAGCTGAATATTTTTAAGTGTTATCTGTATCTGTAGTTGCCAGTAAGAGCTCAGCCCAGTTCCTCTTACCACCACCTCTGCAGATGCTCCTGGAAAGTGGGCAGGAGACCTCCACCACCCCTGGCTATTCCCAGCAGGACTCTGAAGTGTTCCAGCTCTGGTGAGGTACCAGTGTACGGTGAGGAGCACTGATGTTCTCCTGGGATACCACCATGTATGTTATGTAGTGCTTGTATGTCACTATGATTTTGGAGGGTAGAATAGAGAGAGCCTATTATTTTCCTTAGAAACAGTTTTCCTCCTCGCTCGTCCCTCGACATCTACCCCTCACAACAGGCTTGTGGTGCAATATGCACTTCTCTCCTCTACAAGGGCTCTGCTCCTTTTAGAAAAGGCTTCCAGAAGGATACCAACAGCACTGAAATCCCATTTGGTCTGCTTGGTTTTTACCAGCCCTACTCAACTGCCCTGCAAGAAGAGAGAGGAATATTTTCCCTGCTCTCTGGAGTAAAGTCCTCCATTACCACGTCACAGAAGAAAACAGGCTGCTTGGTAGCTAAGGAAAAATGCTGACTTTAAACCTGAGATAAGGCTCTATCATTTACACTAATGAGCTCACTGGTGGGGAATTTGTAAAATATTACGATAAAAAGTAGCTGTAGTCAGTGTTCGATGGAATTTACTATTTTGCTTTTTTGCTGAAAATAGATATAAGTACTAATAATTTTCCCATTCAAACCTAGAGAGAAATAACTGCAGCAAGAATTGTCCCAGTAGAAGTTCAAAGATCTTGTAAGTAATCCATTATTATAAAGATTTATTTTTTAACTATGGGTTGGTCTAAATTCTTCTGGGAAGGCTACAGACTTTATCTGGTTGAATAACAAATAAGTTACTCAGAAGAAGCCCTTAATGAAATATTAACATGTCAGGATTTTAATTGCTGGTAACTTATGGTTACAAGTTAACCCCCTAGATCTGCTAGTCATCCTTGTCCTGTCAGATTTTGATTTCTGATGGAAGTGTGCCCTGGGATGCCCAGGATGCCCTGTAATGGTCTCTGTGCCAGATGCCACATATGTCCAATATGTGCAGCGAAAAAGAGAAGGTATTTAATAGCCTTAGTTATCATACAGTGTCAGAGCAGTAAATGACAACTGCTAAGGGAATCTCCAAGCTACTGTAGGTTACAAGGACTGGACCATTCTGTTCTGAGCCAGAATAAATGAGTATGGCTGGAGAGAGCAACTCTGCTATAAAACTAGCAAAAATGGTAGAAAGTAAGGTGGGTGGAGTAAGCAAAGAGGAACAAAGACATCCCAGCTAAAGGGCTGGAAAACTCTCTTAGTTTGGCATCCATGTGAGATATGAATGTTTCCAGCACGTTTTTCCTCCCTCTCTGGTTTTTGGTTTGGTTTGGGTTTTTTTGTTGTTTTTTTTTTTTTTGGTTTGGTTTGGTTTGGGTTTTTTTATTTGTTTTGTTTGGCTTTGGTTGGTGTTTCAGTCACTGGTTCAACACCTGGAAAAGCTGGCCAGAGATGCAATTCAGTGCATTGTCTTCATTGCCTGTGACCACTCACTGCCGCATGCAGACAAGAAATCAGTCCTAATGAAATATTCCATGTGCTGGTTGTACCCCTGTAGCCTTGTTTTCTGCCTGGGGGTATCTGTGTTTCTGCAGTGCTGCCTCAGCCACCTCATTCTCCTGATGGTTGTGGCTTTAAGTCATCACTTTGATAGCAATTTGGGAAGGGGTGCTGGGGTGTACGATAGACACTAATCCCAGAAAAGGAATAGCTGAACAGGAAGCAATGAACATGGTGACTTGGTTAGGGTTTAATGCTGCTGAAAAGGACAAAGGGGAGAAAGCATGTAGCAGACAGGAGAAAAGTGTATGGAATGGATACAAGAGGGAGAGCTGGTTTATGGGCTGTCACTGGTGTGTTTTCCAACTCCCTGAGTCCTGCAAGCACTAGGAATATGACAGACCAACAAAAAGGATCAGTGTGAGAGACTATGGAAGCTTGTCTTGTATGCAACTGATCACAATTACTATAATATTTCAAGAACACATTGCATTTTTTCACAAAAATATTGTCAAATCCAAGGCTACTGTATCTTTGTCTTCATACGGCTCATCACAAGATTTGAATTTTCTGGCACCTAAAAGTTTGTCTGCCTGTCTCCTTTCCTCCATCCTGCCCATCACTTCGTACCCAATATGGAAGTGCTTAAGTGTTGCTGTTGCTGCTTTTTCCCAAGAAGAGCGGCCACTAGAGGGAAAGTTGCACACAGAAAAAGTTCCTCTCAGCACCTCTGGGGCTTCCTCCGAAAGGAAAAAAAAAAAAATCAGAATTTTACCCAGCATTTGTGAGGTGGCCTGGTTTATCCTTTCAGACAAAGTACATTGAATGAGATTATTTTTAGTATTGCAGTTGCACCGTACACCCTGAAACACAGCCAAAATTAAGGGCCATGTAAAAAAATCATTGGCTAAATTACACAGAGGATATTGGATTACCTGTTCAAACAGAGCTCTTAATTCTGTGTATAAATAGAATCCACAAATACAAGTGCACTGCAGTAGAAAATAAGGCCAGCCAACAGCCCCTAATAACCCTTAATTATTAGGAGTTTCAGTTAACATTTGGACAGCTTTGGTCTTAATTCTTTTAAGTTTGAAGAGGCAGCATGACCGAGGTGGCCCCATTTACAATTATAGTGAGCACACATGCTGTTCCAGTCCATGCTGGCTTCAGCTGAGTGTTCTCTGGCAGCTTGGGTTGGGACTTTGCCCTGTTAAAATATAATTACCTATCTGAATGGGAACTAATTCCCAGTTTGAGTTATTCACTTGTAACAATGCACTTGTTCTGACAGAAGTCTGTGACAAGAAAAACAAATCAAGCTCCTGACCTTGGCATCATCGCTCACTTAGGAATTTTTTGTACCTGAAAGAAAATCTGCTGATATCCCATGCAAGTAATAAATCACCTCACGTCATCAGTAAATACAGCTGTAAAACAGACATCTCAAGGTAAGACTGAAATCCAATGTTACTTTACAAAAAAAGAAAAAAAAAAAAAAGCTTGAGAGTTCTATACTACACATGAACAATTATGGTTGTATAAACTGGAATGTTTAACAATTGCCTTAAGGATGGTGTTTTCAAATGTCCTTAGCAGCGAGATAATATTCTTTCCCAGTTTTAAATTTGCCCTCTGTAATATATATGGGACATCAGAAGTCAAATACTGTACTGCAGGCAGACAGTAAAATGCAGCAGGTGACATTTATCCACTTTTATCTTAATAAGCTTAATAATTTTGTTATTCTTCAAACTATACAAACTCAAATACATGTGTAGCCCAAGGATCCTTCAAGGTAGATAATCTTATATTAATTTATTGCTCCAATCCACACTTTGGTTAAGATTGTGTAACTGTTTCCCCTTTGACCTTCAGTTTGCAACTACTTGTATCAACCAAAAATTTCCATTCCTGATGCTTGGGTTTGCCACTATTTTGACCTGCAAAAGTTGAATTTTTATTTCAACATTTTATCACAATCTTTATGAACATTTCAAAACACATGGAGGTTCAGGGAAAACACTAAGCTTATTTTGTTTGATATTGTCTAGCCTGAAGCGAGATCTGAAAGTAAAAATTAGAACTCTCTTTCTGTAGGAAGGAGTGCATGATTAATGTTGAGAAGCAATCTGGTTTCATTTGATCAAATAAAATTACAGAACATTCAGATATGAGTATAGACAAATGCTCACCTGGCAATTTTTGTCAGGTGCATACCTTGGAAAGCATATGCACTGTCTAGTTTTCCATCTATTGGTGGGTTTTACCCTCAGCAATGCCCTCTTTCTCCTGCAAGCACAAGTGATCATGAGAGAATTCCCTTGGCTGGTGGTGTTCTCCTCCTGGCACCCGAACCAGCCTGTCTGTGCCATTTTCTGTCTTTTGTCTGCTGAGTATGACCTGCACTGGCAGGCACGTGGCACAGCAAGTCTCTGGCCTTTGTCATTCTACAGTGTGTGGAACGCTACTGATAATTTCTGCTGGATGGCACCGTAGCAGTTCATCTGCTCCTGCTGTGCACTCTCTCAGTGAACTCAGTCTGCTCTTTGAGTTACCTTAACTGCTTGCTGTGGAAGCTGAAGGTGACACCATAAGCAAATCACCATAAATACATGCAAACCTCTCTTATAACAGCAAATCAGATGGTTGTAGATAGGCCACAGTGTGGACCAGCAAGAGTTGTTTTGCACTAAATCTCATTTTCACACATCTTTGGACTCTGCACGGAATCCCAGCAGATGCTTGGGAAGACAAGTATCTTAAGTTTATATGGGCATATATAAATCCCCGAATTGCTTTTTGCTGTTTATACTTCATAAGCTAATATAGCAGTGAACAAACTGCATTTTCAGAACTGTGAACAAACTGAATTTCATATAAGTTATTCAGTTACGGGCCAGACTTTGCATTTCTTACTCAAGAAGGATTAAATCAAAAGGCAAGTAGTCAGTGAAAAGGTGATTTTATACACAGCTACCTAAACTCTTACTAAATTATTCTCTCAAAGGAAAAATAAACGTTTCCAGTAGATTTCTCTGCACTTGTTTTTGGAGAAGATGATGCCTTCGCCCTTAGAGCCTTTCTTTATAAGTGAAGCTGAAGTTAAATGTCTAGTGAGATTGAGTTTCTAAGGACAATTTTCCTAAAACAGGATTAAGGCTCACTGATAGTTTAATGGAGGGCAGGTAATGCTGCTGCTGCTCCTGATTTAAACTGCTTTGTGGCTAAACTATATTTTGGTTTCTACAGATAACAGCTCAGTACCTCTGAGCTTTAAATTTACTTCTGGCTCTCCGTAGTTTTTTTCTGGAACAAAATAAGCAACCCTCTTGTGATCTGAGCAGGATAGTATCCAGTCCTGAAGCCGTTCTTCAGAAACTTAATGAAGATCACTCAATTATTATTTTCTTCCCTTCAGATTATTTCCAAGTCGTTTGTTTGCTTGTTTGTTTTCTTTGGGTGAAACATTAGGGGAGTTCTACAAACTAAGAGTCTGTGGTCAATCTGTCAGCACTGGGGTGGTAGCTAGTTACCACACAATGCACAGTTTACATATTTTCTCCATATTCACAGAAGTTTTTTCTTAAAAGCAAACATCAAAGAGCTCTGCTTGACAAATACCTTAGTTTCAGTCTAACAGCTACAACATCCATTAGTTTGTAAATACCTTGACACCATTTTCATTGTATCTGAATGACAATTGGCCTTTTGTATCTCAATGACATTGATTAACAAGGCAGTTTGTAATTAGATGGGTAACATAATTCCTGGCCCTCTGTAAACATCTGAATTTGCAGATCTCGACTCCTAGCTTGGGAGCTCTCTGCTACACATCACTAATTATGCCATGTTCTTATATATCAGTCCCTACATCCTCCTGCTGAGCCTCTCTTTTTTCCCAGTACGACTCAGAGACTGCTGTCAATACAGAGAGAATCAACACAACTGCCTAGCGCTGCATGTGACATTTAATGAAAATGAAGTCATGTCTCATTTGCATGGCAGGTGTTACTTTATTCCAGCCAGAACTGCAGAAGCTGGGTGCTACGGTGCTAGTCAAGTGTGCAAGACTGATAGCCGATGGCAACGAGGGTGTCTGGCACAGGAATCTTTACATCTCCCCCTTGCCTGCCTGCCCACCTCCTGTGTGAGGAATAGGGCTCCTGGTAGAGCAATTTGTTCATTTTTCCAGGCCCCCCTGTTCTCGTTCTTTCTGGTAACTCCGTCCATCAAAGTCCTCAAAGCGGTCAAGGTGGCTGGGGGTGGAAGGCCCACCCAGCTTCCTGCCAGGGGGGTCACCACTAAACATCAAGCAACTTCCAGCTCAGGAGGGAAGACTCTCCTGGATTCAAATCCACAAGCCAAAAATAAAGAGCTCTATAGCACAAGATAATTGACTTCTGTCGTGCAAAAGAAGTGTCTTAGAAGAGTAATATATGAGTATTTTTTTACATAAGAAAGAACCATGTATGTTGAAAGAACGGGTATGGTTTTTTTGAGTCAAGCCCTCAAAAAAATTAAAAGGGCAGAGTCTTGCTCTTTCAGTTTCCATTCCCCCCTGTCATTTTGTCAGTTCTGACAAGGATACAAAATGCCCATTTTTGCTGATTTTTATTTGCTTTAGCTTTATTAGTACCCCTTAGAAATATTAATTTTATTTTAAAGTTTCTGATTCTGACTTCGAACTCAGTTAAGACCATCAACAGTACTAACACATTGCAAATCTTAAGCTTATGTCTTACATGAAGTGACTCCGCCCACTCACTTTTATCTCATTTTCTACTTCTCAGGAGAGTTTTTGTTTCTATTTTATTATGTCCCCAACTCCTCTCTGACCGCTGTCCTTCCCCTATAGTCATTTTGCCACTAGTTTGGTTTCCACAGCGCTTCAATGCTGAATGTCTAAAGTAGGTGCGTGGTACTTTGATCCTCCCTGAGGAGGCTCCTGATGCCATTGGTTACCGCTCCATCCCGTCCCCTCAGAGCCAGCCAGTACCAACCCACGGGCAAACTCGGATACTTCGCAGACACTCTGAGTAACTTTACAGACGCACATTTAACTTAGCAGGGCAGTAATATGAAGAAAGTTTTATTTAAAGCAGTTTTCAGAAAGAGAGATCGATTTCCCAGGCAAAAACTTATGAACCCCACAGTCGAACAGCACAGTAAAATAAACTAAAGCCGTTACCAAAATTCATAATGATTTGCAGAGAAGCCCAGTTTTGGATGATATTCAGTTTCCCAGAGAGGATGCTACAAACTCCGTGTAAGTTTCTATCTCTGAATATAAGTTTTAACTTTAGAAACAGGTCTGCCAGTTAGAAAATTACTTTGTTCCAGTCGTTTGTTTCTAACGGTTCATCGGTAAATTTCTTCATTTACAATACCGGGTGATGATCATTTTCGACAGCATATCCAGAACGAACAGTGGTCAGATGTCCACAGAGACAGAGCAATCTTTGCACTTTAGGAAACAACGACAGCCCTACAGCCGCGCTCCGGGCTGGACCCATCCGTGGGCAGGGCACGTAGTGACTTTCTCTAACAGCGGGGTGCTCTGCCGGCCAGGAAAGGCTCTGGACGCTGTCAAAAGTTTTTTGTTCGGGAAGCCTTGCGGTCTCTTCCTCCCCGGGATGCGAACGAGACGGCTGAAGGAGACAGCGGAGCCTGGACACCCCGGGGAGGGGGACCCGTGGCGTCCCATCCCTCGGTGCGCTCTCCGGCGGGGCGAGCGCGGGTTCACCGCGGGTGATGCTATAGCTGCTCGGGGGCGGCGACAGGCCTCTGCCCCGCGCAGCAGCGCGCTCCCTTCCAGCCCGCCTCGTCCAGGAGCACCGCGGAAACCTCTGCCTGACACCCCGGTCCGCGCCGAGCTGCTCCGCGGGAGTTCCCGAGCCCCGCGCCCCCCGCCCCGCCGCTCCCCGGCGCTCCTACCTGCGCGGCGCGGTGAGGGCTGCGAGGTGCGGGGCTGCGGTGCGGTGCGTCGCAGGCGGCTGCCGGGCACCTGCTCCCGCGCCCGCGGCCGCGCCGCCCCACAAAAGCGGCGGCGGCGGGCGGCGGCGGGCGGACCGCG